AAACATATTTTGTAACAGCAGAATGATTAAAATAATGGATATACACCAAAGAACTTATGGTTTGTTCAATTTGGCAGTTGTACAAAAGGAAATAGAAATATATAATTATGTACTTTGACATTCTTTAAATCAGATTTTGACAAAATTTTTTAAATAAAGAATGAGCAAAAATTATAGAGTGAAGCAATGTGATATAATAGAATTGCTTGGCATTTAGGGCTGTATAAAAGAACATATTTTAAAATAAACATTCACTGGGAATTCCTTGGTGGTCCAGTGGTTAGTGCTCCAAGCTTCACTGCCGAGGACCCAGGTTCAGTCTCTGGTTGGGGAACTAAGAATCCCACAAGCCGTGTGGCACAGCCAAAAAATAAAAAGAATAGAAAAAAAAAGAAAAACCATTTGCTAAAAATGTATGTCTAGAAAAGTTCAGTGTGTACTAGAAGATGAAGATATTCATGGTAAGTATTCATAAAGACACAAATTCTACATTAATCTCTTAGAACACAATAAAGAAAACCAAGTAAAAGCAGAATTATATTTTCTTAGCTATTAGACATCAATTGAAAATGTGCCATTTGAGATACAGATCAGTATGTGTCATAGTACAAAATGATTAACAACCAAACTGAAACAAAGTCATTGAGTGTCCAGAAAGTGTGCCACCAGGTTGTGTTGTTTATAGTGTGTAAGTTTAGTTCTGAAAAAATCTTGGAGAACAGCACTTAACGGTGGTTTCTTAGGGATCCCTGTCTTCTTTTCACAGACAGATCCATTAAAAACCAGCTTTTCTTGTTGACTCAGAGTCTCCATTTTGCCTTGATAACGTTAGTGAATATGAAGACTCTGGTTTTACTCCTAGAATAACAAGTTGTTAACTTGACAGAGATGCCAGTGTTCTGCACTTCCGTACCTGTGTGAGGTACCTCTGATTGGTGATGGAAGTTTCCAGACCAGCCCAATTCCTGTCTTTCTCAAGATGCAGCTCCCTGCAGTCCTTAGTCTTCTACCAGAGTTGGCCCCTTAAATGAAACTACTCTGCCATCCCTGCTGTACGCCAGAATCATCAGTGTGCTGTTTCCCGTCGTGACAGAGCCTGGAGAACAGAAAGCCTCTTCAGGAATGGTTATCTCTGTAACACAGACATCTTGCTTTAGGAAATGTCAGTGGGGTTTTTTTTTGGAGCACAACAACATAAAACAAGAAGAAAAACCATGAGACTGTAAAACAAGGGCATGTTCTTTTAATTACAAACAGTTTTTTTTCCTGGGAGAAATAAAGCAAGAGAAGGCTATCGTAGTTTCAAACAATCAAATAATTATACTTCAAACAAGTATCTCATTGATCTATTTCATTGTTCAGCAG